TAGAACAACTAAAAAAATCATTCTGGCCTACATTAATCTGGAAAAGTATACGTATTTGCATGTCCATTAACAAACTGTTAGAACATAGTAAATCTTTTTAGACTGACCTATTTATCTCAGATTCACTAGTATGCATATGTCGTACTAAATTGGTTTCAGAATCATGAAAGAAAACTTTCCAAATGAAAAGTGTATCAACATTTTCCAGAGGGTTTCAAGCTTTGGCTTGATGTCGATACACATCTACAATGAAGTTAATAGAAACTCTAAAATGCTCTGCAAAAGATTTGAGTTTCATAAAAAGCTAAATTGAACATAAGACAAAAAAAATGTGTCATGGCCAATTTAGCTTTGAGATTTTATGTTTATCTTTTTCAGTTTCCATGATTTTAAATGTTTGCTTCTTTTTATTCTTTTTATGTTTTGTTGAAGTGCTTTTATTTTTGGATTACTTTATTTATCTTAATTTTACATGTGGTTTTAGGTGCAATTGAGATTTTTTTTCCAAATCTCTTTGGTGATGTGACTGAATGCTTCATTTATTTATTTATTTATTTATTTATTTATTTATTTATTTATTTATTTATTTATTTATTTATTTATTTATTTATTTTAACAGAAACTCTTTACATCCTTCTGGAAGTACTGCTACTGCTAAGCTTTTGTATTTAGGTAATTCAAAAAAATGTCTTTTTAAAGATTCTGCTATGTCCTTTATTCATACAACTTTAAGGATTTAGAGGTTTTGATTATGAAAATCAAAGTTTTGTGTGCTTTGTATGTATGATAATGATTGCTTAACGTAACAAGAATATTTTAATACATTTCTGAACAACTAGGCTGTGGATAAGGTGCAATGCACAATGCGGTTAATCATATTTTCACTCTGTTTTTCAGTCAGTTTCTTGGCAATGGACTGGTATCACTTAAGCAACAGTGGAATCTTTTCGTCATCCAGTTCTTTTGTTAACTTTTAATAAAATATAATGTTTAATCTGTAAGAAATGGATAATTCAAATCCAAATTACCTTAAGGACTGATCATATGTAGCAGCAATATGTTGGTAAATATTAATGTTCATTAGAACGGGATATTTTTACACATTAGAGGTGAAGGGGCCAAAAAAACCTACAAAGAGTTTGAACAAGTCACACAAAGAGTATACAAATATAGTATAAGCAAAACCAGTCTCAGTACTCAGCACGGGTCATAAGATGCTAAAGCTCTCAAACCTTGCTTTGAGAGGATATTCATAGGTTCACCACCTAGGAAGCAGTAAACAACTGTGGTATGCCTGGTGAGGCTGCAATGAAAAGCCGCCTTCCTTCAGAAAGAAGCTCTAAGATGTTCAGCAGTTATAAATATTGTTAAAAGGACTGACAACTGTTGAACAGAGCAAAATACAAAATTGTATTTTATTTAGAAATAAACAGTTCCCATGTAACAGTCTTGTAGAACAGTTGTGGCAATACTATGATTTGAAATGCCTCCAAACACCTACTTTTAAATTCAACATTTATTAATTACAACCACTAAACTGTAAAGTAAAGGGATATAAATGTTTCTTTCTTTTCTAAAAGGAAACTCATCATTGTCAAGACAAGAAAGGTCAGAATGAAACAGAAATTGGAAGGACCTTAATGGAAAATGTTGCAGCTAACCATTCAGCATTTAGTCTGTGTTGAGAAAAATAAAACAATCTCTACTGGCTGAAAAAATAAATTATGCAATGAGGTGATGAAAATGTGATCTGTTTGTTGCTACTTCTATAATTAGAACACAAAATGGACAGTATGATTAATGATCCACAAGCTATTTTCTTTTTCTTTTTTTTTAGGAGAAAATGGATAATTCCTCTCTGTACATCAGTTTTGTCTTTATTCCTTCTTTTCTTCCTTTTTATTTAATAAAGTTGTATAGAGTTTAAAATATGAAATGTTTACAACCTTGCTGAAACATGTGCATCCTATATTACACACAAAAGAAAACACATTGTGCAAATGCAAATAACTCTTTGATTCTCTCTGATAATATTTCCAAAAGCACTCAAAAAAGACACATGAGCAAAGGTTACATGCTGTGTAAATGACAGCCAGCAATTTAATAATAAAAGGTAAACTAACTGGCAGTATTAAGATTTTATACCAGAATCAATTATCTGAGGAATGCGTGTCAATTCATATCTAGCTACTAAAATAAGCATTTAAAGGCTTGTGTTGCACAGGTCATAGCTGTGTCATTTTAGAGCAATGCGTGGAAAATTAACAGGACACCTTTAGAGTTAACACAGTTGAGAGAAACAGCAGAATCATTATTCAGTGGAATTAACTGACAAAAAATTCAGATCACTCCAATATTGTTATAAAAGATTGGTCCATTGTTTTCTTGCTGGCTGAATGAACAGTAATAGATGCCCTAATCTTATCTTTGAGCGCTGATTTGTTGGCACAGACATGTCTAAAATCCACGATTAGCTATGGAGCTTGTTGTTTGGGCCATGTAGTGTCAGATCTTATTTCAATCACACCCAGCCTCGATCCACTTGCAGGGAGCTTAAACTAGGAGGGCTCCTCATGGGCAGCAACAGTTTAAACACAGACTGTAGTTGTCATACCCTTTGTGTCATTTATAATCAGAAACTGCTGTCATGCTCCATAACAACTGCAGAGACACTGTTGTGATGGGTAGAGACCTGCTGCAAAAGCGGTGACTCAGTGTCCACACAAAAGCATATTAACATACTGTCTTAGCATCTGTCAGTGTGGCAATAATTACTCAGTGTTGGGTTGATTAGGGGTGGGGATAAAATCAAACTGGGTGGCAGCCATATCGGTAGGTGCCCTTAACCAATAAAAACAATTGTGCTATACAAGTACAGTATTAAGAGAAATTAAAGGCAAAGGCATTACTAATCAAACAGTAACAAATGCCCCTGATTTCAAAGGCTAAACGTATGAAGCGCAGCATTTATTAGATAAAACTATGGGCCTACATAATAAAATAGATGGCTGCTATGGATAATTTGTAAAACAAGAAAGCAACAAAGAAAGACTAAAAAAAGTGTATATTAGGAATATTTTATTCTATTTCTGCACTTAAAAACTATAAAAACAGAGTGACCATTTTATAAAATTCGTTTTATAGTTGTTTGCATTACTTATAACTTATCAGTTTATCACAAACATGCTAGTTCGGTTGTTTCAAATGTTCTTTCTTTTATGTGACACAGATTAAACCTGAATAACCATGACCCCCACTACAGATAGTTGTTTTTTATGTTAAGCCCTCTGAATGAGTCACCATTTCCACTGCTACTGTATAAATCAGTGACCTAAAACCCTGCTGCACATATTCAGAGAGCAATTTGACTTTGTTCACCCTGAATACTAGAATGATGCATTTGGGTGTTTAAAGTCCGAATCAATATTTATTGTTATTACTTTTTTAACCCCTTGTTACTGTAGCACTTTGAGATCTCCTTGAAATGTAAGGTGTTTCATAAATAAAATGTATTATTATTACTTTTAAAGACACAAACCCAATTAAAAGGAATTTAAATGTGGATGGTATTGGACATTAGCAATGGAAATGATTTACATTTGCATACTAGTTTGCAATAAATGTATCATTTATGGTTAAAATATAACAACATTATCATACATCTTTATTCTAATCTAACTGATAATGTTTGGTGCCCATGAAAGCACAGCAAGGGTGATATGTTTATATCATGAATGGATATTTTTAACTTAGAAACAGCTGAGAATGTATTTTTGTTTAAGCAAGAATAACAAAATAATAATAATAAAAATAACAAAATCAATATCGTTTAAGACTGAGGTAATAAAAACTTTCCATTTAAAAATAAAATATGAGACTCTGAATAATAGAGTAAGCAATATTAGCTTTTCAAGCTTGTTTGTACACTTGACAAAGAAAATTCAATTCAAAGTGAAGTGAATTGCTTCATCTGGTAACAGGTAACTGAATTAAGTTTATCCAACTTAATTTCTTTACACTGTTTTAATTGATTAAGTTGGATACACTTTATTTTAATATTTTTTTTTTACCAATCAAAGCTATTCACTTAAGTTGGAGATTAATTCTCATTTCAGAATGGAAGCAGTATTATCCGATGGCTTTGACTTTCTTAAGCAGGATATTCTCATAAAGCGTTGGCCTTCCATTTCCCAAAACCTTAATGCAATTAAGCAGGATGTCCTGAACAACCAACACCAATCCATGGTTAGATTAGGATCTACTTTAAAACGCAAAATATTCAAAACTTCTGCCTTTATATCTTCATGTCATACATGATGTCAAACCAACCAGAGAAGCTTATTTTTAACATTTTATAGGGCACCCTTTTATAGTGAAATACTTTGAAAATCCAAATTTCCAGCCAATAGTGTTATTGGAATCCAGGACCTTATTACATTTATAAATTAAAACATTTGGATATTTTTATGGTAAAAATGAATGTCACTGTAATAACAACAAACGCCAACTTCCCCAAATATACGAAGAAAAATAACAAAAGTGCTTCTATAAGAAATTGATGAAAAACACCCTGAGAGAGAAAGAAACAAATTGTTTTTGGTCCAACATAGCTTTAGAGGCATTAATTCTTAACCTAAATATAACTCTTAACTAGGCTTATAAACTTTTTAACTTTACCTTTTAACTAAGATGTTTAGCTTTCTTAACTTAATTTACAGTAGGTAATATATCATTCAAAAGCTTATCTAATTGGTCAAATGCCAAAATAAGCTGCAGTATCTTTGCTGAATAGCTGGATATAGATCTCTAGACCTCACTGAGGGGGGGACTCCATTTGTAAGGGGTATGCAGGTGATCAAAAATGGTAATTTGTCCAATAAAGGGTTAAGTAGTCAGAATGTAACGCCACATCCACGTATTTGAAATCTTGCATGTGACACATTGAATCAAAATTGCTACACCCATGTCACGCTTAAAATTCCTTAAAATTAAAGTCTTACCTTGAATTCTTCCAGTATTTTGTACGTTTTCCCCCGGTACTCGCAAAAGTTTTTAACCTCCTTGCACTCTGGGCAGCATCCATTGTGCTCCACTTTCGTGCACTTGGGGTGCAGTTTCGGGCATTCGGGCTGGTCGCAAACGGGCCCGTCCTCCGTGCACACGCACGGGCAGTTTGAGTGTCCCGGATAGAAGCGCTCCCCGAGCTTGTACACGAAACCACTGTCATCCACGCACCCCTTCCCCCGATAATCGTCGAAGACAATGTTATCCGCGGCGGTCCGCTCTGCCTCATCGGCGGCGTAATCCTCGGGGTTGCCCACCGTGGCTGGAGACGCGACGCTCATGGCCAGGAGGAAAAAGAGGAGGAGGACGGATGCGGCCGAGAGGAGAGGGCCCATCCTTCCCCGTGGCGTTAACATCCACATTCAACACGAATGCATGGATGTCATCCCTAAGCTCCGGGTAATCTCTCCGGATCCAAATCGGCCTTTATTATCGCTACCATCGTTATCACTGTCATCTTATAGAGAGATGTTCTGCAGTGGAAAAGAAAACAGAGAAATTAAATAAATAAATAGCTATACATGGATAAAAATCATCGCACGGGTGATGATTTCACTGCTGCTGTTTTGCGCATTATCACAACCCAATCTCACCTTGAAATGTACTTTTTTACAGCAATAATTCTTATCACAGGGATTATCTTTCACGAGGAAAAGTAGATCTGTTCTGAATTTCTCACAGCATACACTGCTCAACAGGTTTATATATAAATATAGGCTACAACAGCAGCAGCTGTGGGTCCAAGAGCAGCCATAGAACAACAGAGGAAAGGGTTATGAGACTCATTATTGAAGTGGGTGGTGAGGTTTATTTTCTAAATTTTGTAAAGGTTAACCAATTTAAGGTTAAATTAAAAACTTTTTAAGGAACGAAACACAACAGGTAGCCTCAGCTGATTGTCCAGTACAGCTGGATTTTAATAGTCTCACATATCAGTATTATTAAATCTGCCGTCAAATATTCCAAAATCCACCAACCCTCTTTTCATAAGTAATATAGGTGAGAAAAGGTTGAAAACTAATCCTGCACAAATGCAGCATGGTGTTTTTCATTTGTAGATGAATTTTAGGGTAAAAAGTGATGCATTTTAAGCGATAAGACAAACTCACCCTTGTAAAAGAGAGAGAAAATACGCTGGATATCCTATTAGTGTCGAACCAGGAGAGTCAAAAGCATGGATGGCTGGGAAAGATTTCAGATATCCGCCATGGCTATTAAAAACTTCAATATTATCCCCACATTAAATTCAAAGGCTTCTCTAAACACTATTATTGCCCACCTTCCTCCTGGATCATGAGAAGCAATCAGTTATCAGCCTCTTTGCGTCGCTCTTTCCAGTGCAAAAACGGCGACATCCACGAAAAAAGTAGGTCTGTTTCAGGATTATCCTGATCCGACTCACCTTTCTCAGACAATATCACAGTTCACGTCCTACAGCATGCGGCACACGCAGCTAGAGCTTTTCAAAGATGCAAGAAAAAAAAAAACTGCTAAATTCCCTCTGTAAAACGTTCCTTGAGAATCCAGAGTCAAGCCAGTATATCCAAATGATGTAGGTTAGAGAGCTGCTCTCGGTCTTGTTTTACAGACGGGAGCATATATACATCCAACGGCTGTACTGTGAAACCAGAATCCAATATAACAATCATGGAAGGTTATATAAAAAAATTAAAGCACTTCAGAATGAAGGCAGTCCATAGAGGATTTGCAGTTGCGGTTGGCATTATTCGCAAGGAATGCGAGACTGAGGAGGGGAGCGCTCCCGACTTTCAGCACCTTGGAGAGCGACCGTCTCTTGCGTCCTGCTCTGGGCAGAACAGAGCGCCTCCCCCAGCACTGCTTCGTCCTCTTGTGTCACCCACAGTCACAACACTCACATCCCACAGCCAGACAACAATTACCTTTCGGAAGCTCCTCTTTGAAAAGATAAGGGCTAAAACGAAGTTAAATAGTAATAAGAGGTCAGTTTTCTGCTGGTAAATTAAACAGGTATGCTATATTTTAACAGTTGCGCGTGACTTGCTAATTGCTTTTATGTACTGGTGCGCCTCGGTGCATGCGTCTTTCGTTATGAGGCACTGAATTTGCAAATGCTATGGTTTCATGCACTTGTGTGCATCTCTGTGTCTTCAAAACATGACCTTAATTTTCTGCACATTTTTACGGGAACCCATTTGTATTCTGTCCTACATGGGGAGGGAGGGTAGGGGTGTAAGGCTTTCATGTCACTACAAAAAAAAGGTAAAATGTACAGTAAGATTTTGCAGCAATTTGGCTTTGTTTTACAGATACTAGCCCATAGGGGCCACTGCCTAACTACATTATGTCCAAGCACATGACTGAGAGGCAATCCAGAGAAGCATCACTGAATTAAATATTCCAAAGATATATCATGAATATTTAAATATTCCAACCGTGTGTCTTTTAATGCTTGAGGTCTACTAAAAAGAGGGAACCTCCAAACAAATAGGTATTCTCACCCCATATGGTACATAAGAAAAATATCCACATTCATATTTCTATCCATTTAAATTTGTTAGGTTACATCTACAGACTTTAGTGTGCTCTAATTTCCTAGGACCTTTCGGCATATAGTTCAACATTAAGTAGTGCATAAAAAAAGGAAATATGATTTAGATTTTTTATCTTTTTGAAAAGATTTAAAACAGTTATAGTATAGTATGAAGGATTGGTGGAGAGTCAACAACATGTGGCAAGCACATGTCTACTGTATCTACAGGGTTAGCCTGCAAAGCCAGTAACTTGTTGTAATCAGCAGGTTTCCTTAGATAGATAGCTGTTAACTAATTTGTCTGTATAATTTAATTGAATTGTCTCCATAAAATGCTTTGAAATATCATATGTTTTGAATAATACTGAAGTGAATTGAATAATGGACTAACTGTCTTTCTTTGATAGCACCTAAATAAAATTGGTCAATTAGACTGGGCAACCTGTTAAGGCTGGTTTATATTCAGAAACCAGGTCGTCTGCATTTATGTTGCAGTGAACACAAATATGCCCTGCCCCTTCTGCATAAACTCTGGTGCACCTCTCGAAAATTGTAGGTGACCGCAGAAAGGAGGCCTCTGATTGGTCAAATCTACATCTGCTCTACACTATGCATATCTCCTGTTTGGTACCTACCAGCTTGTTGTGTTTGTATGACTGCCGTTGTGGAAAATGACTCATGAAGTTGGACCAGCTAGAAGAGCGAGGTTCGTGAGAACGCCTGGACCCTTTTTCCACCTAGATTCCCTACTCTTTTTTGCCTGTATGTCCCTCCGTTGTCGCACAAACTTGCCCCTTATGTTTTTCCACTTCCTCACCACCTCTGACGTATGTAGAACCACAGCTAGTTCGTGATTGTCCCTCTTGCGTTTTGGCGTGGAATAACGTACTGAAGACCACGTTTCAATTTTGGGCATAAATCTAAAATATCTGCGACAAGCAGATCACTACGACACACTGCTGTGGGAGTATAGCCAGCCCAGCTCATAGATATCTATCTTAAATTACTTATAGTTGACACTTAAAACTAGTATTACAAATGATTGACCGATGAGTATAATGCCAAGTTTGATTTCATAAAACTTTCAGTCTTTAACTCCTATTACCAGTTAAGAGATTAAAATGCGCAAAATATGAATACAACATCAACAAATTCTCTATGTTGACTATTATGAAAGGTGGGAATGTATATTTAGATGGATACTTTTGTAACATGTTTCCCACCCAACTTTCTTTGGCATTATGATTTCTTTTTTTTTAAACAATCTAATGTGAACAGAAATTCTATTTAGCTATGAAACTAGAGGGATTTCTTTCTGTCACTCTAATGAAGTTAACTCTAGCTCTTTTAAAAGGTAAATTGTCACAGAGTACAAAATAACAAAACTGGAGAAAAGTTTAATTTTATCATGGAGTCAGAAAATCCTGGTAAAGCTGTGCTCAAAATCAATTAGATACCTCAAATATATAGTATGAAGTGTAGCTGTTTGTATACTTGAGTAAATGTTTTGTCTCAGGCTTGGTAACACTCATCCTTAAATGTAACTCTTTCTAAATAGTGACAAGAGCCAACATTTTTTAATGATAGATGAGCAAAAGGCTTGAAAATAATTCAGAATGTATACTGCCTATGATGACAATGATAAGATCAAGGACCAGCTTTTGAGTGCTGCACTCCGTCACAGGCTGTGAGATGGTGTAGGTAGAACTATTGACAGGGATTATGCAAGGTTAGTTATCTCTAAAATGCTGGCAGGTCTTTGAAATGCAGATAACAGCAAAGCTGCAACCACAAAAAACCTGTGGCAGGTGGGAACTTGTCAAACTCAAGGTAACATGGGCAAAGCGGATAAGAACTGTGACAGCTGAACCATTTAACAGGCAAAGGCAAGAGCAAATTAAGGGTACACACTTAACTTTTTTCTTTAACATAATATGAGTATGGGAAAGGTATCAGGAAACTGGGTGTATGTAGTCTGTATTCTGATCCTTTCAGTTTAATTAAAATTTTATATGTGTGTGAAACTACACCCCAAAAAATCCTCTAATTAAAAAAAAGACCCTTGGCTGTACTTACTTTTAGCGACTAAGTAGGAGCTCTGAATGTAACTTTTAAAATTTTAATTTGTAAAGCATCTTTCAAGATTAAAGCACTTATTTAGAGGAGTACCTCAACCTGAAAAAGTACTTCACCCTGGAAAAGTAGTACTTAAATAGCGTCACAAGACAAAATTAAACAAAAGTAGATGCCTGTTAATCTCAGAGTCAGTGGAAGGAAGTTCCAGTTTCTTAGAGCTACATATGAAAATGGTCTGTCTTATCTAGTTTTGAATTTCATTGGGGGATATTCAGCAAGTCTTCATCATAGGACCCAAGGGTGCTAATGTAGGGATGTAGTGGGTCAGAGACTGGTGTCTGTCCATGTAGAGCTTCTGAAGTCAAAGGTCTTGCAATGCACTCAATAACCGGGAGTTGAAGAAATTACATTATCAGTGCAGTCACATAACAATTTGAACATCTAGTTGTGAGCTTAACAGTAGCATTTTGTAAGGACTACAACTTGATAGGGAGCTTTTAGTAAGACATGTGCAAAGCACATTACCCATCTGTTATATTGGGGCATCAGGAATGACTTAGCTCCGTCATCTGAGAGGAGCTTGGATTAAAACATCTTCTGTAGATCAAAACCAGTCAACCATGGTGATATGGACAAACCATCATTTTAGAGATTTTCCATGCATATCCCCCTGCAGGGAACTCACTTGGGGAACTATGTATTTCTTTTAGCCTTTTAGCCATGGAAAGTCCCAAAATGAGTAGGAGAGTTTTGCAGGGGAGAGGACAAGCTCTGCTTAAAAGTTTTCTTACCTCCCATTAAAGAAAAATTATAAATTCACACTAGTAATTCAAATAATTGACACAACTGAAAAAAAAATGCTTTTAAAAACACATGTACTAAATAATAATTTTTTAAAATAAAATATTGATTTTGCATTTTCTGTTTTTAAAAAAATCACTCTACAAAGAAACTGCCTGAGACACATTAAAGTACCTAGCTTATCAACAGTGAACCAACAGGTGCAAAAGCCTTACTGAATATTTCCTGAACATAACAGAAAACCACTGATTTCAGTGATTGCCTCAAAGTGTTGCTCAACGAAAGTTCACTTGTATATTAATATATGTATATTACGAGGGAGTATAAGGGCCAGGCAAAAAAAAAAAGTTTTTTTTAGAATAAAGTTGTAATATTATGAAAATAAAGTTAAAAAAGTCTATTTTGACATACTGCCCAACTTGATGCTGGTGTGCTAAAATATCCCTTTTTTTAAAAGGATATAGCAATACACTATTTAATATGCATACCATGTCCTTGACTGTGACGCAAAATCCTCCTTCCTTTCTCCATTCTCTAACTGAGACATCTTGTGCATTGACCTGGTTCAGAAGAAAAGGGAACACTTATGGGTTGTGAAGCCTGTCATCCTCCTCCCTCTTCTTTCACCACCCTTTTGCAATAGAGCCATTACAAGTGTATATATATCATTTATTAAATCTGACATTGCACTTGGGTAGACGTAGGATCCTAATGTGCAATGTGTTGTCTGAGACAGCCGGCCAGCCACTTCAGCATGCCATGCTCCATTAGGCCTTCACTCTGGCTCACGCAGAACATAGAGCGGCTAATACAAAGCATCAGCAGAACCGAGAAATGTACTAAGGCAGCCACTTCTACCAGCACACAACCTGTGTCTTACTGAGGAGGTGAAGGTTCTGCCGGTGTGACATGGCTTTGCTGTGAAATTTCCTTGAAGGCTATAACAGAGTTGTTTACATCTTGGGCTTATTTAATGTGAAGCAAACAAGTGCCAGCCAACAAGAATAGGTTCCAATTCAATCAGCTAATGGAAAGGCAGCTCTTTACTCTCTCCACCACCCCCCATTGCCACCTCCTGCCTGCTACCATATCAGTTCTTCTGAAGCAAAACATTCAGTACACTCTGAGTATGTACCGAATAGTATAATGGTTTTGCCATTAGGGCTACATTTAAAACCCTCCAGCAGGTCCCAGGCATTATATTTGGAAGTGGCCATTCATGCTAACTTATTAAGCTGAATAGATGGGAGGGTGGAAGCTAAGAATGGAAGTGTAAAGGATGAAAGCACACAAGTAGGAACTAACAGCAGGGAGGAAACCTAGAATGAGTCAAGGCTGTTCTGAGTGTGATGCATCTATTTATTCCCTCTTGCATTGAAATGCGAGCTATACGTCTTAGTAAGGATGTTCCCTTAAATATGTAGAATATTTGACATGTGCCAGTTGAGTAAGCTCCTGCTATCTCCCACTGATTGAACTGAATAAAACAGAAATCAAGGCTTTCCTTGTACTCTGATCTTCGCTTTAGACCAAAAAGTTTCCAACAGAGCTCAGGCTGTAAATCAGTGATGTCACCTTATTATTATTGGTAGGATCTGCTGGAGTTTTCCTCCTG